GATCTTTTCTTGTTTTCTTTTTTTCTTTTTTTATAAGCGTCTGGTCTCGGGACTTGGGTGACGGATAAAACGAAGCTGTCTTCTATCTCTCTTTCGTCCTGATGTAGCGGCAATCCGCGTACGTCGGAGTTTATTTCCCAGTATCCAAACATTTCTTTCGCGTTCCTTACTCTTGCGTTCGGTCGTCTTTTCGATGTTCGAAGAGGGACTTTTTTTTTTTTTTTCTGCATAAACAACCAAAACTTTTGCGTTCATAGCATACGCGTCCATCTATTCCATTCGAAGGTGAATTCTCTTTCCCGTACCCAACCAAATCTTTCGCTGACTCGCCCTTCCGGTTTTAAAACTTGGACAGGGTCTTTGGCATTTATAGCAGACTTCGCCCGTCCAGCCCTGAGGCTTGGACACGGCCTTCACTTTTATCGCAGCCGCATCCGTCCAGTTCGAGATCCTGACAAGACTCTAGCATTTTTTTACAAACATGTTAGTCCGGCCGAAGGTCGGGACAAGACTCTTCTATTTTTCACAAACACGTTTCAAGATATTGAAAAAATTCGTTAGAAAAAAGGAAAAGTATCCCCAAACTTTACGTAACGTCACTCCTCCTATATGGCAGTGAATGGCGGACAGTTACTTCCCAAATGATAGAATGGAGATATTGTTCTGCAGAAAGATACTTAGAATATCATGGACGTTGCATGTGAGCAAAGAAGAAGTTTTGGAAAAATGAAAAGAAAAAGTTCATTTTTACTGTGAATCAGAAAGTGACTGTTGAAATTACTTGTATAACGATCTTCCTGACGTCATAGGTTTCCAAGAAGATATCTATTTACTCCTGCTTCAAAAACAAACTTAGTGTCGCTGACAAAACTAACCTGGCCGTGCGTCTTGAAAAGGACCTCCAATCGGTTGTGGACTGGGGCAGGAATTGGCTGGTTAACGTTAATGCCTCAAAAACAAAACTACTCTCTATTACTCACCACAGAGAACCATCCCTGCCCCCCATTAGAATGTCTGACGCTCAAAGCCACGAGAGCACCTCTTTGCGACTGCTCGGTCTCACATTGTCTCCTGACCTGAGATGGAACAAATACATTGAGTCAATAGCTCCGTCCACCGCAAGGAAAGTTGACTCCCTGTGCCGCGCCAGGAAATTTTTCTCGCCGGAGTCGATCCTTCAAATTTACAAATCAACCATTTGTTCTTGCATGGAATATTGCTGCCATATATGGACTGAACCCCCTTCTGTTTTTCTCAAGGTCCTCGATAAAATCCAGAAACGGATATACCATGATCTGGCAGCTCGTCTGCAGTCGCACTCTCATAGACGTGCTGTCGCCTCCCCGCGTCTTTTAAAAAAATACTTTCACGATAACTGCTCCGATGAGCTGCTTTCGCTGGTTCCCAGACTTCATGAATTTAAGCGTTCAACTAGGCTGGCATCTCGCTCTCACCATTTCACTGTCGAAACTGTTAACTGTAGCCGTCTCTTCTACTCCAATAGCTTCATGTCTCGCACTTCTCGCCTGTGAAACTCCCCCTTTTCCTGTTTCCCTGATAGCTATAATCTCCAACTATTCAAATGTAATGTCAATCGACGTCTCCAGATGCCCTGATATATCCCCTATCCTTCTCTTCATCCTTTCCTCTATCACTCCTCTTTGCTCTCGCTCCAACTCTCTGTAACCCCTTGCGTGCTAGTGGCTTCCCGCCTTGCTTGGGGTGAAACGCTTAAAAAAATAATGTACATATATATATATATATATATATATATATATATATATATATATATATATATATATCAATTAGACCTTGATGAGATTGGAAATTGGGTCGCATGATTGAAAAGCTAGAGTTCTATACACACGGCCACAAAACGAGTTTGATTATAGTACAGGTTAATCTTGCTGTAGATTAAACCGTTCCTAAAATATATCCAAACATAGGTTAGCCTGTTCCAGAATAACCTCTCTGGTATGAATACCTTATATGAAATATCTTAGTCTATGCCACAGTTTATGTCTCCTATTATTATTAGTGTCAATATTTTTTATCAACTAGACTGTTATGTGATCTCCCCGTATCAACCAACTGGTAATAATCAAGGAAACCATGTAATCAGCGTTCTGTACTTCTAAAATATGCGTAAGTTTGTTGAATCTAACAATGTGATTTTGTCTATAGACCCTGGGTCTGTGCCCAAAGATTTATGCCTCATTGATGCCCTCCACTGATTTCGTCGTGGTTTTTATCCTATAATAAGTGTTCATGATGCTCTGATCAATTGTTCACATCGTCGTATCTATAACATTTGAGAAAAAAGCCGTTAGGGTTGCCTTATCATGTCTCTGTATAATGATTTTCCAATCATAGCTTAGATGTCGCCAAAAGTAGGGGGCAACCAGTGAAAATCGAACTCACTACACTGTTGTAATCGTTCTAGCGAGATAAACTTGCTAACAATTACACCACACCGAGGTTCCCTCATGCCTCTCTATAAATATATATATATATATATATACGAAAGAAATAAATATATATATATATATATATATATATATATATATATATATATATATATATATATATATATATATATATAATTAGAGATCAGGATGAGCAGACTACAAAATGATTTCCCCAATACTGCTCACTGGAAATAAAAGAGTCCTCGGTATTTCACAAGGCAGGATATGGCACAATGCAGATTATTTACATGGGACATTCCGAGTCCGTAAGCCCTGGCAGAAATTGATAGATATATAAATATATACACGGGGTCGGGTAGTTGTATACCACCTCAGACGAGACTGCCCTTCGGCATAGCATCGTCTGGGTTCCTCTCCACCCGTAGGCAGAGAGTCAAGAGACAAGTTAACAGTAATCGTTAACTGCTCTAAAAAAAGAGTGCAAAAAATGATTTGATTATTGCCATTTATTTATATATATATATATATATATATATATATATATATATAAATATATATATAATATATATATATATATATATATATATATATATATATATATAATTTTTATCATATTTTTGGATGGACTGGTCATGTGTTGAGAATGTCTGATGACAGGATACCCAAGATCCTAATGTACAGCCAGTTAGATCAGGGCTACAGGAATGTAGGACACCCCATGGCTTAGATACAAAGACAAGCTGAAAAAAGAACTTGTCAGCAGTTAATATATCACATAACACCCTTGAGCGCTTAGCTTTAGAGCGGGTAGAATGGAGATCAACGTGTTTTAGTGGACTCAGCAATTTTCAATTTTTTTGGCTGAATCATCTTCAAGAAAAGAGAGCAAGATCTAAAAGGTCAAACAATCTAACAGTGACCTCATCTCACAATCCTCACACTTGCTCAATATGTGGCCTCCTTTGTAAATCACTAGCGGGTTTTAAATGCCATTTAAGATTAGCGCATAAACTTTCATAACTGAATCAATAAGCTGGCAGATCCTCATACGTCGAAACCGACGGTAGAGAGAGAGAGATTATATATATATATATATATATATATATATATATATATATATATATATATATAAATATGCATGTATTTTCTGAAAATATTCGAAAAAATTATGTATATATAACGAAAAATTCTTAAAACTTAGTAAATTCATTTTTATCGTTAAGAAATTCATGTCATTATTTTTAATCGTTTTTTTGTAGAAGTCCGAGGTTAAATATTTTTTACGTCCTCTTATTTAATTTTATGAAACTTCCAAAAATCATTTTTATGAATAAAATATTTTATGCATACAATTATCTTATGAATTATTTTTGATGAATAATGAATTTTTGCAAGAATTAATTTTTTTTTTATTATTTTAATTAGAATATTTTATAACTTTTAAATCATTTAAAATGCTGTATTCATTTGTAGCGGTCAAGTGATATTGTTATTCAATAAAAAGTGTATTAAGCGAAAAGTTTACTACAATTCAATGAACCCCATTATTTTAAAACGAATTTTTTTCTGTATGCATAAAGGTGATAGATTTTTTGCAAATATGGATGTCCATATTCGACATTATCAGGAAATAATACTGGTAACTCTAGTAAAATTTATTGCTAATTTTCTTACATTTCATCAAAAAGCGCGTACATATGTAAAACTATAACATTAAATTGAAATAATGAAATATGAAACGCGTATACGTTTTATTCGTCATCTAATTTTATATCTGTTATCTACTTAGATAAATTTCCAAAACATCAGTCTATTGATAAATTTGTCACCACCTCATAAACCAAACATCTCCGTGATAAAAATGCTTTTCTACGAATCTTAAAATTAAAACTAAGTAATATTTGTTTCAAATCAGATAGATTAAGTAATACAAGTGACAAAATTAATTATAAAAAATGTTTAAATTGAAGTAACAATAGTGTGTGCCAGATATACTTGATAACAAGGTACTTTGAATATTAAAAAAAAATGAGGCGAAATTTTCTTACAGTAAAATCCTAGACGGTAAAGTTTTCTACAGAGAAAATTCCAGAGGCGAGTTTTCCTCCGGCCAAAATGTTTACGGCGAATGTTCTGGATACGGAGATTTTTTTTAATTCATCGTACATTGTCAGCTGTTATAATTTATTAAATTTCACTTCTTTTCATTGTTTATTTTCATGATGTCAAACGAAAATAATTACTTATCCAAAATTAACAATGGTCGACATGAACAGCATTTTAGATTCGTACCTTCATGAAAACGGTTCCGCTCCATCCAACCTTCCTTAGTTGTATATTGCTTTGTGCAATCCCGGAACATAGTTAAATTTCTTTGCTTTTCTTCCCTTGTTTTTCTCCACTATCTTCTAAAACGATAAGAATGAATATTAACAGGGTTATAAATTCCAGTAACAAGTCCCGTGCTCGCGAGACTGGGCAATACGAGATTTGATGTTAGACTTCATGAGCGTGTTAAACCTCTCCTAGATAAGGATGCGAAAAACGAAAATAGTTCAAGAAGGTATAACT